TTAAAATTGTAAGTGACATTTTATTGAGGATGGCAAAGCACTTCAGTGTGCGATAAATGGTCACAGTTTTATTTTGAGAAATTTTAGACCCAATAAGAGAATAGTAGCGTTATATTCATGGCAGGAACTGATAATATTGCTACATATTCCATACACACTCACCGAACAGAGACATTGCCGTAACTTGGTATTAATAAAATGAGTGATTTTCTGTAACGCAATTCAAATGGAGAATTTCATCACACCTCAAACACCAAATATATTCAATTCAATGCTTTACTGTCTGTTGACACCAGTATTCTCGCTGATTTTCACCGCATGAGTTTTTAATAGTATTCATTTTAGTAACATTTCGCTGTTGTGCTGAAATGCAAATTACATTTATCGCGTAATCGAAGTATAATGAAAACGAAAGAGGAGTAAGATCTAGGCAGCTGATAAACATCAATTCATACCCACAATACATCATTGCGTGGATTGATAATGCAAGCAGTATTGAAAGAAACTGAGACATGACATCAACTGAAGAATTGTTGAAAGAGTTCGAAAGCAAACTGCAAGTTATAGAGCAAAATGTTGATCCTGCTGACATCTGCTATGTTTTCATTGCTTGTGAACGACTGCACGGTGGGATAATGTGAAACGTAAGATTTCATGACTTGTCGCTTACTGAAAACCTGGTATTTAGAGCACAGAATGATGAAGGAATGGTAACAACGAAAGAGAAAACGTAAAATACAATCTCTGAAGGAAAACTTAAGTATTTGAAAAGTCTTTTGGGATGGAACAACGTGAACTGAATAGAATTCACGTTTTTTTAGATTGATTTATTCATTCGCATCAAAATATGTGTAACAAGTTCAATACAATGATAACAGTATGGCGAATATACTGTCTCAGATAATGTTCGGGAAAGGAGAAAGAATAAAAAATCGAAAAAGAATAAAAAATGTCATATCAAGCATACATTATCATAAACTGACTTTTATATCATATCAAGCAGATCATTCATATCACTGTTTTAATACCTATATCGGTAACAGAACATATCATAACATAAAATAACATTTATTGGAATCATAACATATGAGGCAAGTTCGATACAATTTGGAAAAGCAGATGAAAAGCGAAAAGAAACGAAAAATATAAGAAATAGAAAACAAAATAAAAAAAATTCATATAGCTTACACAGATTGCTCTAGTTAACTGTTTATCAGGATTTTATCAAGGATCTCATCGGGTGGGATGAATTGGAGTCTGCACTTAAATATTTGAAGCGATTTGAAGGAGGCAATGTTCTGGATGAGTAGATTCCATGCTCTATCGATACCTTTTGCAAAAACAACCTGGCAGTGTTTGATTCGCAACGTTTGATAGTTAGCTTAAAGGGATTACTGTAGCAGGTTCATTCACTGCTTGAGAAATATTCGAAGAACTCGTTTTTGATGCTCTGATCCGATTTTATCAACTTCTCGGAAAGATTCGAGACATTCCTCGAAAACTTCCGGAGAAGCTTCCTCGAGAATTTCGTAAAACTCGGGACGAAATTTTGCAGTCAGGAACCCCAAAGATGCGGTCAGCTCAAAAAGTGTCGGCAATTGGGACGGAAAATCGAGGGGCCGTCGAAATTCCGTTTCCCACAACACACTGCTTGATATTATCAGCATGAGGTACGTTCTGCCATGCAACAATCGGTGTTCCTCATTGCTCTACTGCTCCCTGTCGATAACTTCAGCACAAAAATTATGAGGCCGAACCGAGTTAGTTAATCGATAATCAAAAAATTCTCCAACGTGTTTCTTTTTCTTTACCGAAATACCTCGTTAGCAGCTGATGTTCCGTTTTGAAGCGGATGTATTTGTGTGATCAAAAATGAAATTACAGGCAGAAGAATTTCACACATCTCATAATTTTCTTCAGAGAATCCTAGTGGTCATCCAACCTGCAGACAATAATAATGAAGTCTTCAAGGAAGATAATCTTGCAGCTGAACGCATTATTCAATCCTGTGATAGCAACTGGACCAGCAACGATATTTTGTTGATCCGATTTTCGGATTGTTCTCATTCAGTGAAAGTTTTCCAACTCACTATCAATGCCACTAAACAATCGCCCGTTTGGGCTTCTTCTCATTTGAAATTTGTGTTACATGCAGCATATCGTTGCACTTGCACGTCGGTTTGACGTGTAAAGCACACTTCAGAACGTCTGGATAAGTGGGATACTGAACACTACCATCCAAACACAGCGTGGGTTCATCCGGGATTTCAATTTGTTATGCTCATATTTTGATCATATTTCACTCATTGTCAGAGAATCTCTTATTTGATGATTCATCTACTTCCACACAATGAAATCTGTCATTCTCAGATACTTCGGTTATTTTTTGTCCTCCAACTACTTACTCTTGGAAATGCAATAATGACAATTGAATTTTTACGAAAACTTTTCGATCTGCAGGAGAAAAAGCGGCACTGTTGTCACTGTGCTGACGAACGTTAACAGTGAGCAAAAATTTTTCTAAGTCCAATATCTCTCATATGAAGACCACTGTCTGCGTCCATTGATTACATCGCATCTCTCTTTTGTTGTATTCCGTCTCGCCCTCTCTCTCATTTGCGTCGTACTACCTTTTCATTACGCGTCTACTCGGCTGCATTATTTCTTCTGGTGAATGCATTCAGGTGAACGTTATGACATAAGTTTTGGTTTATGATTTTGATGGCCCTAAAGAGAGCCGTTGAGTTTAAGATCCGCTGTTCTTGCACCATTTTATATGGGGTACATTTCTGCGATCTGCTTCCACAAGTTGTATAAGCAGTCTTCCCCTCCAAATTCTCTTTTTCAAACGAACTGCTCCACGTAGCTCGCCAACAGCCCAAGATCGGTGCCGAACCTTGACTTGTGCTTCATCTTGAACTTTTGCCACACTGATTCCACTCCATTTGTGCACACCCCAGTGTCCGGATCTACGA